AGATGATATTCTCAGAACTTTGGTGTTATTCCCACAGTTTCACATTTCCAACTTTTTAGGTTATTTCAGGACAATTTTTCAGGTCATTCTGAATTTTTTGTGTTATTTTCCAAACTGTTTATTGATTTGATATTATGACAGATGTTTCAGTGTTACTCCAGAATTTATAGGCTTAATCCTTGGGGATTATTTTTTTTTATATTCAGAAATGATTATTATTTTAATTAGCACAAGTTTAAGCCTTTTGTTTTTAGTTGCATCATTCTCAGAGTGGAAGTAATGGTGACTCAATGTTAACACAGCGCACAGACATGCAAACTGCTCTCAGAGCGGTGGCTGTTAGACAAACTAGTGACTTTAAATTACCCGTAGCTGTGAATGTGAGTGTGAATGGTTATTTGTCTGTTTGTGTCAGCCCTGTGACGGACCGTGTGGGGTGTAACTCTCACCCGTATGAGCCTCCTGTGACTCCCAGCGTGATTAGTGGGTAAACGAGAGTGGATGGATTCACATGCTGTCAGAAGAGCTTTCAATAACACACCAATCAAGCCAACTTTGAGACGCGTATCCTGCGATTACTAAAGGTTTCTGGTGTCAGACACCACCCATTTGGGACTCCAAGCTCCCTAAAACAAATGTGAAGGATTACTTCCAAATAGTATTTGACATCAGTGTGGTTGGAACAACACTTTGTCTCTTCTGTCCCGAGGGGCCTCATTTTGTCAGCGCTGACAGACAGCTCATGTAACCCAATCCTCAGGTACTGCAGCCCTGAGTCTTTACTTGGCACGCACACACACACGCACACACAAGTACACACACACACACACACACACAAAGCGAGAGACCACAACAAAATGTGCCACATGTGCTTCACAAAAATGTTAATGCTTTATTTGAACCCACTAATAGTTTAAGGACATCTTACAGGATGGAACAAAAAGTTGCATCTTTACCTGAGAGAGCAGAAACACTCATGGGAATGCTCCCCCGCGCACAGCAGACTGGATGATCCCTCCTTTGTGCTTTTAATGTCTTTTTTCTGCCTCATTACCTGTTTGGAGTCACTGGACCAGACACACACAGACACATACACACACTGAATTGTTTTCTCTGTGTCTTACTGTGTTGTTTAAACTCCCACCAGGGTGGAATAAATGGTGCACAGACCGGAGTCACCGCCGAGCCCCTGAGCTCAGCAGATGAGGTTTGATTAAAGCCCGTGAAACCCAAAACTTGGTCTGTGTGTGTTCACTTTCAATCATTCAGGCTCACACACGAGCAAGAGGTCAGGTAGTACACCAGAGAGACGACACGCATAACTACTCACACACACACACACATGTACTAGGCTGTCTCTCTGTGTGGGTCCTCTTTAAATCAGCGCTGCAAAACAAGGGAGCATCTTTGACCTTATGACCTTTCTGATGCATGACTTACCAGCCTGAGCCAAGTACAGGATGAGCCGTAACGCAAGGAAGCACTCGAAACATCTGGAAAACCTTAACCCTCAGCTAAATGAATGGGTGGAAGTAGATGCTTGGTTTTATGTAGTCATTTTGTCATCACGTGACACTCCAAAACATGATGGAGCTGACTCTAGACAGAGTCAGAAAACATATTTTCTGCACTGACGTCACACTCACAAAACATTGTCTCCCGCACCACGCATGAAAGATTTATAACACATTCCTCCACTGTGTTTTACTGTTTGTTTACTCCTCTCTGTTTCTGTGCGTCAAGATGTGTGACATGCCAGACATTCAGTTCTCTATATGTAATTACTAAATGACAGTTTCACAGGCTTGTTTTTTTTTTTTTTAGCTTCTGCTCAGGTGTGAAAATTACCTGATGGTTGGCGGGGTGTTTCTTCAACCATGACAGCACGGCAAGCAAAATACCTTTGTGTTTAGCTATGAGGAGCGACGCCCTGTTGTGTCAACAAGATCAGATTTATGATCAGATTTATTATACTGCATCATTGTGGTATATGTGGGAATGGTGGCTTTCCTGAACTGCAGATATACTACAAACAAACAGATAGGCCTTTTCATCTGTATTTTGGGAAATGTGTCAGACAGTGATTACATTCAATCTACTGTAAATCCTTACAGTGTTAAATGCTCAATGGGCAAAGAGTGACATCTGCTGGCCAAAGTATAAACAACATGAATACCAGTTGTGGGTTTCTCATGCCAGTGGTTCCCAAATGTTATGGCTTGTGAATTCCTAAAACAAAGTTAGTCTTGTGACCGCTTGTCATAGGTTACATAGGAGTAAGAAAAAATAAGTAAATCCACCAGATAATTCATAGGTAAAACAAAAATTACATATCAAAAAATGTAAACATGGGTTTGTTTAGCAGAAATATGTTTGTTTTCTTCTCTCCTGTCCTTGGGAACCTTCGTTCTAAGCCATTAAGCATTAGTGTAGTGCATCAAATACTGTTTGTTTTTCTGATCTCTGTTGTCAACACACATCAGTCAGCTCAAACCCAGCTGATGAAAGCTTCTACATACACACCCAGTTGTCTCCCATGGAGAAAAAGGAGCATCACATGTTACCACAAGCAAAACCAGCGGTTTGTGTGTAAAAAAAAACAAACATGAGAAACAGTAATTAATATAGAGTAGAGAAGGGATGGCTGGCCACATGAAGACAGAATTAACACTCTAATGGCGAAGGTAAAGCCATGTCAAGGTGATTAAGAATCTGAAAGAGTGTTTTTTCTTTTGTCCAGTGAATACTTCATATAATAAAATGTAGATAGGTAAATCATAAAATGGACGAACGCTGAATTCCATTTAGCGGCCTCAGCTTCAGGGTCCTGGTATTATGCATGTTAACTCACTGCCTCACTGACACACCTGAAGAACACAGAGACATCATTAATGTTATTAGTAACACCTGTGTGTTTCCTATAAATGTCTACTGTGGAAAAGGGTTTTTAGGTTTGTTAAGTGTAGATGTGAAAACACCTGTAATCGTTTCTGCAATTATCTAGTCGGTTAAACAGGAACTATTTGGTAATGGCATTCTTCTCACATGTTAGTTTATTACAATCCTGAAGAGTAAATATATCAGAAATTACAACATGTACATTAGTCATCTGTCTCTTTAAGACTCATTGTAAAGTGTAAGTTGGTACAACCTATTGTTGGTGGGCCTTCCTGTGCCTATCTGATGCAGATAAATTGCGTAGGATATACAGACAGAAAGTGAATATTGTAGGAGAAACCAGAACTGACATAAGCAGCAAAAAAAAAGAAAAAATTAGATTAATTAAAGACAAAGATTATGTGAGACTGTGTGGTTAAAAAAAAAAAAAAACTGATTCACTCATTAGTAATGTACAACATATTTGCGGTGTCTGCTATTTTCATTAAATCCAATTTGCCTCCTTTCCTTGTGAGTAATGATGAGTCATGACATGGAAGAGATGGAGCAGGAGCCTTCAGGCCCTTAGAAAAATGGGGCATGGATTGTAAGAAAGGATTGTAACCTGAGCGTTTCTGAACGGTCAGTTCAAGTGCACAGATATAAGACACTGAATGTGTGCCAGATCAACATAGTTTTATTTAACAATTTGATTAATCTACTATCTTGTGATTTTCTAATTTTTCTGTCAAACTAATTTTAAACATCATTCTGCTATGTTGTTCAGTATAATACTGGCTGAAGTGATTGTGTTTGTGGATTTTGGGGAGACATTCTTGTACTGACCCACACTGACACCTTGTGGTCAAATCACAGTACAAATGTCATCATGCAGATTTTCAGCAACATAAATCTATGGATTACAATGCTAACCAGAGACAGTAATATATCTACATTTTATGGGCCAATGCAAATCATATATGTTTAAAAGTCAAAATACAACATGTGCCAAATCACAAATAAAAAAAATGATTGTATTATTAGACTTACTATGAACAATTTATCAATAAAAACCATTGAATGACCATATTCATTTAAAACAGTGGAGATGGACTGTTCTTTCTCTCATGTTATCAGCTAAAATATGTTATTCACTGTGGAGATGATGTAATTGTATAATGCAATCACTAGGAGTGTTTCATCAGATGTGTCCCAGCCCCCCACATGTGTAACAGTACGTGGCTCTACTAAAGCAAAAGCATGTTGTCTCCTCATAAACTTATGACTCTAATTACGTTGTCTTGAATCTTATATGCCATGGCATAAGTAAATGGAAATGGAAAAGAAACATCAGAGACAGGGGCAACACAGAAACAGAATAAAACAGAAACTTCCAGAACAGCAGATAACTGAATAGTCATGTCCAAGTGATTTTCTCCAGATGGTATTCAGTCCATCCAGGGAACAAGCCCTGGGAAACCCAGATCCAAGCTGTAAACGTGACGGGTTGCATGGATTACACTACCGTAAATATTCTAAAAGATTGAACTTTATGGAAGAAAGTGAATGAATGGGTACAGGTAAGTATAATTCGTCTGCAGTTTTCAAGTTGTGTAATGAAAAATGCCCTCCATCCATGACCCTTATTTGTTTTCTGCAACAGCTAAATTTACATCTTTTAAAGGGCTCTTACTGAACTAACCAACTGATATTTATAGACTGGCTGCAGGCCCAATGCGCCATTTACAATGCATTTACAGAAAATATAGAAACATTTGCAGAAAATAGCTATTATGGGTGTTCAACATCACTTTCACTTAACGTAATATTGTTTTATCATCCAATATGAACATTATTACTATCATTATTATTATTATTATTATTATTAATACATTTTTTTGTTTTTCAGTACCAGCAGTCGTTGTAACTCTCAGTTGCTGGTTGAAGTGCAAGTAAAATTGCTGCTTGATAAAACCAAACCTTTGCCTATTTGTTTTCTGAGTAACCCGACGGTACCATACATAGGTTAAGAGTCGGAGCTTACGTGGTGCTCTTGAAGGCAACGCAATACAGCTCAAGGAGGAATGTCTCTGCGCTTCTATTCGTGCTATTAAGGTCAACGCTCCAGGAGGTTCTGTACGTGGCAGCGACCAAAACCCCTCTCTATCCTGTTCATAACCAGGGGGTACCAACTGAAACTGTGTCCACATACCAAGGTGTGACGTTGCTCTGTAATACCCAAGAGAAAAAAGGTAAGAAAATATTAAATATTGTGTATAATTAGCTAAAAGAGCCCGTGTTTAGCTCTGTGGAAGGGGGCTTGAGTGGTCGAGCTCGTGTCCTCCCGAACATGCTTAGATGATCAATAACTGAGTCCAACAGGTTTCTTTTTTCTTGGAAGCGAAGAGTCACGCTAGAGATGTGTGGCAGCAAGACGGTAAAGTTACAAGTGCTAGATATTTCTTGAAGTATGTGTTTATTTCCGACATGTTTGTTACATTGTAATGGGAGCATCGGCTAGCAATGTTTCTCAGCGAAACGGGAGAAAGTTTTTGAAAGTTTGCACAAACTTTGTGGCCGAGCTTCTCCTACGGTGTTGCGCACATGACATTGTTGATTTCGCTCACTCTCTTAAGTTACAATGACGTCATTTTTTTGTATTTTGGCGCAGTTAATATAAATCTCAGCGCATGAAGCCTGCAGCTCGCAGTGCAGGAGAGTCCGCGGACTCAAAGAGCTACAGTGTTGGGAATTTCTAGAAACAACTGTCTTGGGGCTGACGTCACCGGCACGGCTACTCTCCAGCTGGAGATGATGAGCAGATCCAGGGTCAGCAAGACGAGGCTCTCGTTTTTGCTGCCGCTCAGACCCAATTTTACCCAACTTCAATTGACAAACATTCAGATTTAATGATTATTGATTCATCTGCTTAATCATTTGATCTATCTGTAATGTATGACCTATAAAAGCATCAAATTCTCACATCAGAGAACCTGGAACCAACAAATGTTTTTGCATATTTGCTTCAAACAGACATAAGGTCCTGATTGTCCAAACAATTGCTAATTTTTTTTTTTCAAGCTCCAGATGTCTCAAACCCTAACATATTCTCATAAGTAGATACCAGTAGAGGTTTGATTTGATACTACTATAGCTGGTATCTAGTCGTGGGAATATACCAGGGCTTCAACTGATGATTATTGCCATTATTGTCTAACCTGCTGATTATTTTCTCAATTAATCTGTCAGTAAACTGGGAGAAGGTAAAGCCTTCAAGCCTTCAAATGTCCTGTTTTGTCTGATCCCCTATCTAAAAAGACATTCATTTTACTTTGTCTCAAATCAAAGACAAACAGTAATTTCTGACATTGGAGAAGCTGGAACGAGAGAATGTTTTGCCTCACTGAGTGAGGATTGACTTAAGCGATTAATCATTTTTCAAAATAGTTGTCATTTAATTTCCCGTCAGTCTTCTTGTTGAATAATTGACTAATTGTTTCCGCTCTAGAACTGACCCTTTAATCTGAGCAAGTTCACAGTGGTTGATCAACCACAAAGGTTGGTTAGTTCGTAGGTAAAAAGCTCCAAAAGAAAAGACATTGGTTTTGTCCACCCTCTGCAAATAGTACAAAATGCCAAATGAACAATCAGGCCCAGTATAAAATGTTGGAGGCATGCCAGGTGAGCGATGCCCTGCAGGGATGTTTATGTAGCACAATGGTAGTAATTGTAGATGGCAGCCATTATAAATGGGATCCATTAAATCTGCAGCAGGCAGCATGCACACTCAGGCTATGCGAGACACAGGTAGGACATAGATTAGCTTAATGAAGTTATTACTTACAGTTGTCTCTGTCTGATGAGCTTCCCTTCTCACAGTCTACCTTCTTTTCCTTATTGCAGCCACTGTCCGGTCTGTTTATGTCTCTTTATTCTAAACATTGAAGCAATACTTGTTTAAATGCCTGGGATATTTATACTTATTACAACATTTGTTTCTTGTTTTATTGAATATTATTTGTACAAGCGTTCAGTGTTTACATACCACAGAGATTTCTGGAAGTGGATGGTGTGTTTGTGTACTCTTGCACTTAAAGAAAACGTGTGTGTGTGTGTGTGTGTGTGTCTGTGTGTGTGTTTGAGTATTTGTGTGTTTGTGTTTGTGCTCCTGTCCATATTTATGCTTGCATATGCATGGATCTTTGAGCCCGTCTGTCTCTTTATGTTAATGCTTAGTCTGAAATGAGGCACACTCTGTAAACCGGGACTGTGTGGTATGAATAGGTTGAGATGAACCTGTTGGCGACAGCATTTTGGTTACAGATTACTGGTGTTTAGATAGTCTGGCTGCTACATGAGCATGGTTTCCGCTTTAAGTAATATTGATTGATTTAAAAAAAAAAAAAAAAAAAAAAAAAAAAATTATTTTACCAACAACGTGGCTTCAAATGTTTTTCATCTCTCATTGCATCTGAGACATATTTGCTTTTCCATCAACCACATATGGTCAGCAGAAGTCTTGGAAGGATCTTTTTTTTTTAATTTTTTGCCACACAGAGATTTACTACACTGCTCTTCCTTCCTGATATTTCCTAGTGTACAGGGTCAGCTAAACCCTGTGGAAATAATCACTTCCTTTGTCCCAGGGACAGACTAAAAAGCCACAATAAGTGTTTTTATTGGTTGGCTGGTTGGCTGTGTAGGGTTAGGAAATTGCTTCAAAAACTAGAAATCATGCTCTTTGCTCACCCCTCATGTGATGTTCACTGGAAGTGAAAGTCAGAGCAGTTTTTTGTACACTTGGTGTAACATTGCCTAAAGAGTGAATGAACTTCAGGACATCATTTGTCTTATCAAATAATCAATCAAAATTTCGCTGGCAATGACGCCTCAGAACATCACATTGATCTAATTATAGTCTAACTGTGGAGGAACAGTTGTTCTACCCAAGGATTAAACTGAAATTGCACGTGGCAACAGCAACGACATGTTTGAGTTTGAAATTGTTTTCTTTGCTCGAGGACAGTTAAAGCTTCGAGAGTGGCAGGCAGTGATTGCCTGAGCATGTTCACAGCCTGTGGATACTGTACATGCACAGATTGTATGTGGCTACGTAACATGCATGTATCACTCTGTGCTCTTGTGTGTTTGCATGATTACATGAGTCTGTATTTTGTCTATGGCTTTGCGTGGGGAGTACATGCCAGCCCTGTTTACTGATTGACATCAGACAAAAAAATACCTGTTCAGCATCAACCATTTGTTGCTTATCTCTTTGCACCATATGCAGCCTTCACAGTGTGCAAGGAATTGGCAAGCATCTCATCTGAATTATGAGGACTACAGTTTTTTACTCCATGTTAGCTCTACCAAAATACTGGAATTAGGTCTTTGCTGCCAAAATGTAATATAGAAACCTTGTAAACTGCCATGATAAAAAAGCCCCCAAGCAGGATGTTTTTATACACTCAGTAACAGCTTTTGCAAAGAGACATAGGAGTGAGTTTGAATGTCTGGCTTTGTCAGACAGTCATGTGTGAGGTAAATAGCTCCATATTTTGTTCTGGGAATCACTTTTGGGTGTACAGGGACATTGTTATCTGTTTGAATGCGTTGGATTTTCCAGTGAAGCAAGAGTCAGGCTGCGGTTCAATTTTTTCATATGCCTCATCCTCCTGGTGTACTTTATCTTGATCATTTCCCTGAGCTATCCCACGTCCTACACATTAATTATATTTTGTAGATTTGATTCTGAATGACAAATTTAGTTTATAAAACACATTTCCTATAACTGTTGCTTCACTTGCGTTGATGTCGCTCTGTTACTTACATCAGTGTAAGTACTTTCTACTTTTTGGCATTGCTCTCGTTTGCATTTCTTATGAAATCATATTTTTCAAACTACCATGGGAGAAAAAGGTGATAAAGATCATTTTTGTCCTTTTTTCTTGACACATGTTTTAATCTGTTTTCCCTCAAAACTAAAAATGAAATGTGTTTTAATAACTTCCCCAGTTGGCACTTGTGTGACCCAAGACAGCTGCTGCTTGGACCAGCCAGGTTTTTGTCTGTGGATATGTTGAAGTGAAGTGCAGTCCAGTAGAACTAAACAAGATAACTACAGATGGAGAATTTACTCCCTGAGTAAACTTTTGCTCTAAAGTGACCCCTGCCCCATTACAGACCTTGGATCCTGACTGCTTTGCAAGAGAGAGTGTGTTCCTTATCTCTCTCATGGAACCAAACCTCCATGTAAAAAAACAGTCATCTGAAAAAATCCAAAAGTTGGTGAGAAAAGAGCAGATTTTGTCACAGCAGAACACTGCTTAACACTGTACTCACTTGTTAACCAATGAACAAATAACTAAATGTTGTCGCAGTGACTGAAAATGCCAAACACCACAAATGACACACTTTGATGTTTAAGAAAGTCTTTGCTGCATATAAAAAGAACTCATTCTCTGTAAAAGAATCATCAGAATCTAAGAGAACATTTCTGCTTGAACAGAATACAGACTATCCTTTTTTTCAATCTGAGGAGAGGGTGGATAAAAAACACTGTCCAGTTCTGTCCTCTGATGACCTATCGTATATAGATCCTGTCCTGTCCTCTCCTGAGTGCTATTCCCCACATTTGCCAGAAATGCCAGGCAAGGGTCAAGACTTGGGTAGTAAATGTAACAGGCCCCTTGCCAGGAATGTGACGGGTGTTACGGCCTGCAACAACAAGTAAGACTGTGTTTGGGCTGGGTAATCACACAGGCTGTAAATTACAAGGAGAGAGCTTTGGTGCTGTTATTTGTAGTTTAGGACTGTGGTAATAGTTATCTGGGCTGGCACTCACCAAGTAAAACAAATGCCCTCCTACCTAATGCACTGGAAGCTGAATTAGTACCAGTAGGAATACATTTCCCAGAGAAAGGGACTTGGGAGTGATTAATGAACCTTTTGTTAGCAAGGAGTAGAAGTTCTCACCTGAGAGTGAAGGATATCTCTGTTTATGGCACCGAAGTGAAATCTGTGGTGTCTTTTTCTTCACTGGTTCTGGTGTACACTCAACACAAAAGACTGACTAGCTGATTCTTCCAAATTTAATGCAGGAAAATAACAGGAAATAGCACCATTTGCACACAGTTGAAGTCTGAAAATATTTTTACATCAACAATGCAAATCACACCCAAATTACTGTTTAGTTAACCTATGTTTTGAGTTCAGCCTCAGCCAGTATGCATATTTGGGCGTCGTTCATTATGTAGGAAGCTTAGGCACTGATTTTCTGCTTCCGTGGTCGAGCCCCATCCGTGCGCTATGTGCACCCAATCCAACTAATCAAAACACTCATGCATGCATAACCAATATTTGTGTAGTCTTCTCAGTAATTACGTTAGATGGTGGGAAATTAATTAGTATGCATGGCATAGGAGCCTGTTCCATGTTGAAGTTGTATTTTCTTGTGTTTAATTTATCATAATTTGTAATATTAAGGCCAAGCAGGCACATCAAAAGCTTTAATCCACTCAGTATATTCGAGGAGGCGAAGAGGCTGATTTAATAGTAGTGTCCTTTATTTCTATATCTGTGGACTACGTGAGTATGTTTGTCCTTTCATACCTTCTGGCAGCTTCCAACAAGTTAGGACAGCTCTGCAGCTCTCCACCACCGTGGAGGAGAGAGGATGACATTTCTATGTGAAGAAAATTGATGTGCTTTTACTCCTAGGCCAAAAAGTAACACCAAATATGTGTTGGTGTGTGAATTTCCGTCCAGTCGCATTCTCAAATGTTTGATACACAGGCACTGACCAATATACTCAAACCCAATGTGGTGAAGTCCAACAAAAATAACTATAATTGTAAATGATGAAGCTGAAATGTGAGAGTCAAAGGGAATGCAGAGAACGAGTCTTTTCGTTTCACCAACACAATTACTAAGAGCAGGTTTGTTGATCAAAATGTTTGTGAGGTTTTTGGTCTTTTTTGTAGTTCTTCTTAAGATTCATCAGATGGTTATTTAAAAAAAAAAAAACTTGTTTTCATGTAAGATAGTGTTGTTCATAATTAACTGCTTAACCATAATACGTTGAATGTCCAGGGACTTCTGTTCCCTCTGATCGGGTATTCACTGCCACAGGTCTCACAGTTAACAGACTGCACATCAGACTAACCCCACAGCATTTCGAAATGTTGCTACTTCTGTATAAAAAACAGAAGAAAAGCTGACCACTGTGCTGATTTTTTTTTTAATTTTATTTTGAGGTTTAATGCCAGTCCAACTATGTCACACGAGCAGTAGTCTGGCTGTTCACACCAGAAGCACATTTCTCTGCGCAGGTCAAATGATTCTGCTCTTTTTTTTTTTTTTAATCGTGCATAGAACTGATCTTCACCTCATGAATTTTTAACGCAAAGCTTTTTATGTGTTCCTGGATCAGCGGGATGCTGCTTCTTCTGCAACAATGAAGTTAAAAGAACTGTGTGTGCACTCACCTGTCTCGCTCTCTGCTCAGACATTCTGGATCGTTCCGGTCCACTTTAACCGCTGTGTATTGGTATTTTTTTTATAAATAAATTACAGACACGCTCAGTCTATTCTAAATAGCAGCCTACAATTTAATCCTGCAGGTTATTGGTTATTGGTGGTTATCGAGCATCGGCTATCTGTTAGGAAAAAAAACATTGAAAATGAAGATCTCATGTGAGACATGCAAGACTGAAACACTCTGGAAAGTGGAACTTGAATTAACAGTGACTTGCTGCATGCTTAAAGCCATTTCCGACCCTTCACCAATAATACTGTTAGTTAGTACCATTTTGTCTTGGATGTTTGTTTCATTAAAAGTGTCCATTTAGCACTAATAAATGAAATTCTATCTTCCAATATGTTTTGCTTTACAAAGGATCCACTGAACTCTGATAATGTAATTGGCAGACAGTTGTGCTTTTGTTCTATTTTTTTCCCTGAAGCATGTTCACTGACATTTTGTCCTGGAAATGTACTCTGCATGTTGGTGACTCACTTCCTCTTTGACATTATGTTGGTGTCCTGGTGTTCTCAGGTTCATATTAAATGTTTCCACTTAATGCATTAACTAATTTTGGCAACAACAGAAAGTTGACTTGTATTTTGTCAGTCATGTAAGTGAAATTATTTCTTTTTCACCTAGAGCAGATTCCTCTCTAACACACTAACAATCAAGGTGCCACTTTTCTGCTTCAGATCCTCTGTCCCACTAAGCTGTTGATTAGATACTGATGCAGACAGAAGTATGTGTGCGTGTGTACGTGCGTGTGCTGACATTTGGAAGTATGTATTTCTACATGCTGTTTGTGCACACAGTCAACGGAAAGCAGTCATTAACTGAGAAGTGATGTGGTAAAGTAGAATTAGACGAAATCCAAGAGGAGAAAGTGGAGCAGTGTCACTCTCACAAACAAAGCAAGGCCTCAGTGCTGAACTGTGAACAGAAAGTTTCTGCCAGGTGATACGTCATTGTGTAGTCTTGTTTTTTGAGCCTCAGATCTGTTGTTGGCTCCGCAGTAGCTGAAAGTCCACGCAGCTAATGTTCCTTTCGCCCTAGATAACACTATTACTCATTTGAAAGAATGAATGTTTGTTAAAGCAACGTGGCAGCCTCTGACAATATCATCCTAAAAATCATCATTAAATGTAGAATTATGGGCTTTACATAGCTGTTTGAACTGAAACTGCCAGTGATAGCAATCTAACTTGCTGTTTAGTGACTATTTCTAATAATTATTAAAGAAGTCATATGTTAAATATGTCAAGTAGATCTTTAATTGTAGGTTCAGTATGTGAAAGATATAACCTGTTATGGTTGAATTGACGTTAACATTCTGAAAGAAAATTACTTGAGAGTTTCTGCAGTGCCAGCTCTGGTTTATAATACTACTACTTACACTGGACATGGAGCTTTATTTAGTCCTTTCATTAGTCACAAACATTTTTTATTAGGTATCTGGAGGCCATGTCGAGCTCCGGACTAGAACATGGAAAAAGAAAATGAACTGACCTTGCATGAACCAGATGTTTTGTTGTGCTTTGTGATTTTATAATATGAAGGTTCCTACATATATTCTGCAATGTAGAAACAAAATGTTTTATTACAAAAAACACTATTCTTTCTCCACAATGTCCTTTTTATTATTCTTTCATAATGAGAACCGGGCATTGAGGCCAAGATGACAGCTTGCCTCCCAGCAGGCACTGGTGACTCATTTGTAGGAAACATACTGGAAAGTTTGAATATTGTTAGACCATCAGTTGATTTAGTATGGAAACACAGCATCATTTCTTAAACTGTTGACTCAGGGTAATACAAACTGCAAGTTGATTTTTATGTGTCGTTTAAGAATAAGACGGACCACATATTGTGATCAAAATAGTGTTTGTCAGCCAGTATCAAAGCAAAGCACAGTGCCAACTTTTGGATGGACATGGTATGAAGTATCGAAATGTTAAAGGGACCTGTATGAAAAACATGAACACACACTCAATCAATAATGGGTAAAAAATCTCCCCATGTGTTTAACACTGTCTGGCACAATTTGTTCATTGGCCTAATGAATAATAACCAACTGGCCTGCTACACTGGAGTATTTTACGACATGAAAATGAAATGAGCTCAGATCGTGTGATACATGATGTGATAATGTTTGTCATTGCAGGTTATTGAAAAAGACAGAATGAGGAAGTCTCTGTTTTTCATCTCCTGGGCTCTGCTCTGCTGCTGCTGGACCACACAAGCAGAGATCTTCACCTCTATAGGTGAGTTTTTAAAGAGCTACATTGTTTCTTGAGTTTGCTACAAAATTCTCTTTACTGATTAAATATTTTGCTCTAATTATGTATATTGAACTCACAAGGCAGTTGACACGCAGTTATTGTGCTGCATAATCAGAAGAAAACCTGAATTTTGCTTTGAAAGCTATAATAAACTTTACTACTTTACTACTACTCAACTTGGACTTAATATTTAATTAGGAAAGTGCAGCTGCTTTTACTGTCACTCTCTGTGGAAATTGCTGAGTGCTACATGTAGAAGAAAACAATTTTTAGCTCAGGAATGCATGCCTTTTATTTGCCATAAAAAGGTTTTAAATGGAGGTTGTGGGCAGGAAGGAAAGAAGTCTTAGTTTATTTCATGGTAGCCTGAATAACTTTTAAGATAAATAATTATGGTTCACTGATTCCTTTTTTAAATCTGTGAACATTCTGTTTAGTTTTTGTGCACAGTGCTCAAACACAGCCTGGTTTCTATAGGTGTGATTCAGAGGTCTTGTCCACACTTCAAAAGAAACAACAAAACAGAGCCTGCAAATCCCCCCCTAAACTGTTTGTCTTTTGTGCCCTCATAAATCTAATATGTGAGAAGAAGACCTCTGCTTTTGAACAAGTATATGAAGGATTGGTCCCTTCTTTAGGTCTTTATGTGGTATCAGGGAGTGTTTCCAGAGGTCAACTACAAAAAACTCGAAGGCAATAGTCCGCTGTCCCTCTCAAGTATAGTTGTTAAGACTCTGATAGAGTCAGGCTGGCCCTGTCCCCAGCTGCAGTTGCCATAAGCAACCATGGTCATAATGATAAGATGGACAGAGCCTCCGGTCAGTGGAGTGAACAGTCTTAACACACGGCCCTTCAGCTCTGGGATAGACTGTCTTACCTTGGGAAAGTATTGCCTAAAATAAACAGCATGACTTAGATCAATATGATTTAATGTTTATGATTTGGTACCCAATAGAATCTACACACATGTGTGGATAGGTGCTGTGGACATGTACTACATATTGTATAGGTTTAAATACACCCTGCAAGGAGGATGACCTTCAGAACTGGGTGGTATTACTAAACTGTAACTTGTATTGCTCATCTCCACTCTCCTCGATCAACATTCAACAAATGCTTCTGCTTTAGACATCTGATGTTTCTTTCAACACAATTTAACCAGCTCGCAGGATTTCCATCACACATTATGCATCACATAGTCAACAAGCTGAATCTCATGACTTAAACAGTCACTTAAGTCAGACTGATTTACTGCACTTGGCCCTTCTGGGGTTGGATGCAAAAATAATGAAAGTGTTTTTTCACTGTTCCTCTTCCTTGGCAACCCCTGTGAATTAATCATGGCTGCACATTTCCATGGAATTGTTTACTATGCACACCACAATCCAACCATCTCCTCAAAGGCTCATGGATGAACACACCTCTGCAGTTTGCTGAGTAATTCTATACAATCAAAGGGCCACAGTCTGTGGCTGAAGATTTATTTTTACCTCAGCCTAATTATAAGACAAACGGTGATACCAAAAATATATTTTATAGGTTTTTAAAGCAAGGACCAGTACTAGCAATACTCTCACTGTTTTTGATTAAATAAACCAAGGCAAAAACACTGATTAAAGAAGCTTTGAAATAGTATAGTAGACAGTTTTTCTAGCAAATGCTAAACCTGCACATTACCTGAAACCTCTCCCTCAGTATCTGTCTTCCTGTCTGTCTGTCTGTCTGTCTGTCTGTCTCTCTCCGTGTCTGTCGACAGACCTGATCTACACAGAGAAAGAGCTGGTCCAATCCCTGAGGGAGTACATAAAAGCAGAGGAGTCAAAGCTCGCTGCAGTCAAAAGGTACATTCTGAGTCCTGCTACTGGTTACTATGATAATATGATAATCTTATAATACGTAATATATTGTTAAAGATTAAGCCAGCCTTGTTGGCTTTTGATCCCAGTGTCTACTTGTCATGTTGGTTTGATGGTTTCAATTAAATAACAGTTAAAGGCTGTAAGAGGTCAAATTGTCCAATATTTCACAAAACAAGAAAAGAAAAAATGACAAATGAATACAGATTTGTGTAGCAGAGTTTTTTTTCCTTATTCTTTCTTCTTTTGTTAATATTATCATGACCCCTCAGATTTATGTTGTGACCCTTTGGAGGTGCCCAACCCCTAGGCTGAGAGCAACTGGACTAAACGACTACGGAAATATAAAAGTCACCAGTGCCAGTTTTATGCAGAACAAGTCATTTAAACTTCAATGAAGTACTGATAGTACTGAGTGAAGTACTTTCTTACTTAGCAAGGGCTTTGTATGCAGAGCTTTTACTTGTAATGGAGTATTTTAACACTGTTGTATTAGTACTTAAGTAAAAAATCTCAGTGCTTCTTCCACCACTGACTGCTGATGACTTCTTAATGTCTCTCTCATGTGTCTTGTGATTTTGATGTTGTCAGTTTGAATCCAGCTTCTTATCACTGACCTGTTACACTTCATTTGTCTAATGTTGTGTAAGAGTTACCATGATAATCCAAACTAATCCCTCCTTTTGGATTAAGGAATTAAAATTTTCTCCATATCACTGGAATGTTTTACAAATATTATAAATATCTTTTAGAAACAGGACAAATTAAGTAAAATATTTGTCTGTTCCATCAACAATAAACAACGCGATTGGTTCATATCAACAATTCTTTAACCATTTATTGTTTAGAACTGTGGAAGTTTATCACAAGAGCTGGAGTATTTTTATCTAATTTGTGCACTATTTCCTTTGTTACATCGGCAGGTAAAATCAATGTGAAATGATATGTAGAATGTGTGCTGTGTCTTTAAATATATACTGCATGTATCTGTGTAACAGGAGCTTCCACAGTAGTAACAACACTGTGTCTGTCTTTTAGCTGGGCCAAGAAACTGGATGCTCTGACCAGAGTGTCCACCTCTGATCCAGAGGGTTACCTCGCCCACCCAGTAAATGCCTACAAACTGATGAAGAGACTCAACACAGAGTGGTCTGAACTGGAGAGCCTGGTGCTTCAGAACCCTTCAGATGGTGAGGAAATTCCCCCTAAAACAGCATGTGGGTGAAGGACGACTGGAGAAGTATGCCGTGATTTAGCTTTGCTGGGAGCATTATTGTTTTCTGTATAATGAGTAATAATACCTATCCATCTAATGAGCAAACTGTGTTCAGATAAGGCAATAAACAGTTTTTGGCCTTGCTTTATCTGTGTAAAATTGACTCCCGTAGCATCTGTGAGTCTGTGTTTTTTGGCCACATGCAGAGTCTGCTGCCTGACAGAGTATACAGACATTTGCTCCCATAATAAGAGCACACTGAATATGTGACCCGCCTGTGTGTGTGACAGCTCAGCCCAAAGGGTACCAAGAAACTTATTATAATTATTATTTTAATCCAGTCTAATTCTTTTTTTTCCGTGTCTGTCTGCTTTAATTGATGTCATATCTGGAAATTACTATAAATTTTGCTCAAGTTGAAATAATTTCAATCCAATTAGAAAGGTGTTTGCATCAGTTTTGCTGCCTTGGCTAAATCTCAATCTGTTAGCCTCAGCAGTTTTTAACCTTTCCTGTTGACACTGCATTCATTCCACCTTAAAATATCGCTTCACCTCGTATAGTGCATCTGAAGGGCAGCATTCACCACTTTTTCTATGGGGCTAGTCTCAACATGAGCGGAGAGCGAGCGGTCAGGGTTGAATAAAAGATGCAGAGCGGGTGTGAGCTGACTGGTTTGACTGCAGAGTGGAAAGTTCTGTTGTGCTGCTCTTCCTTAAACACTCTGCGCCCCACATGAACAGAGGGAGAACAGAGACTGTCATGTTGTAGCTGCAGCTGTTCCTCATCTCTGCATATTTTGACCATATTCTCCCTCTGTGTTTGTGTGTGTGTGTGTGCATGTTTAGACCTAGGTCCATATCTGTGTCAGGCAGATGAATTGAGCATGAGAGTGTACTGGGTGTCGTACAAGTGAATCTGTATACGTGGCCATGAGTCATGAGTCATTTTCCTTTATCCACATTTTGTTTCTCTTTAAGCAAGTTAAAAGAAAAATTGACACTGAGAGAGAAAGAAGGATGGAATTTGGACCTTTGCCAGTCATATATGATATACAGTATCACACATGACTCTGGTATGTAGATGAAAAAGTTTCCTCCTCTGAATACCCCCAAGCGAATACAACACATAGAAATGTCACATCTGCCCTTGGAAGTTTCTGCTTTTACTGAATAGCAGATGAGGTGATATTCCTTATCAGGTGATAAGGAATATGAAAGGGCACACATGCATAGTTCTTGTTAGTAGTCATCATTAGTCACATGCAGGAGACACTGAACTAAATTTGATTACTTGGTAAAGGCAACCTGAGGATAATATTGGTCACTCAGATGTCTGTCTGAGGTCAGAACAGAGGCGCTGAATTATTTACAGAAAGTCTGGTACTCCTGTGGCAGGAAAGCTTGTGCTGACTGTGGGTTATGAGCCTGAATACATCAAAGATATTGGCGACAACCTTTGTTGCCTTTGTTTTCATTAATATCTTTTGTTGCAGACACGGTGAGACAGGAAAAGAAAGACAGAAAAACTACAAAGACAAAGGCCCATTAGAAGAAAGAGGGTGATTTGCAGTTTTATTGTTTAATGTATTTAAATTTGTTCAAGTAAAATCAGTATCATTTATGTTTCACTTCAACGGAAGAGGAACATTAACCCAATCTCGGGAAACTCCTAAAAAAATGTAAAGGATATAAAAGGTCTAAATAAAATCAATCAAATGAGTTTAATATTAGTGTGCATTTTCACCCATTATGTTTGTTTTTATAAATGTCAGCTTTCATTCGAGAAGTACAAACACATCTTCTAAGACCCCCCCCCCCTTTGCATGAACGTGGCCTTGTGTGTTTAACAGATATCAATGGTTGTCTATTGATAACCATTGTTTTGTATCAGTGAGTGATACAAAGTAGCAAAACTGACTTTTGATGGTTTGAAAATTACCAAAATTTGAGTGTTTACTAACAGTTTAGTTTACTAAACAGTAGAAACAGTTTAGTTTACTTAAATGTTACTATAAATTATTTTCGCCTTAAGTTGCTAAGTTCTAGCAAAGTTGTACATTTAACATCCTTTGGATAATTTGGTGATTCTTTAATTCCCTTACACTTTTTTCTCTTATCAAAACACCATTTTCATTTCATTTCAAACATTTCCAACTTAACCTTATCTTACTTCCTTTCTTCAGGGTTCATTTCCAACATGTCCATACACAGACAGTACTTCCCAGATGAGGAGGACGAGACGGGTGCAGCCAAGGCGTTGATGCGTCTTCAGGACACGTACCAACTGGATTCTGAGGCCTTCTCAAGAGGAAAGCTGCCAGGTAACCAAGGAGTGTGGAGTGAGTTTGTAAAAAAAAAAAAAAAATAGCATGGATATATTAACATCGATAGAGCAGTGTGTAACTTTCTAAAAGAGAGAGAGGAAGGCAAACTGCATCTGCCATTAACGATTTTTGTGTGTTTGTGTATTTATATATTTTCTTGTGAAAACCAGTTTGAGTTTTGGACCTCCTGACAGAGTACATTTTTGTGAAATTAGGTCATGTTGACCTGTCCTCACTTCTTCAACAGTTCAAAGAGTTAGTTTAAGGCGGGTCTGGGGTCAAGTGTTATTGTGTTATTATCAGTTATTATTTTGGTTCTGGGACATGACATGACTGAAGATTAACTTTTCTTGTGGTTAAGGGTCTAATGACTGAATTATTTACAGATCTATTAACTGGCATGCAGTACTGACTCCACCATAGTCTTGTTTTATACTTCAAATAGTCACCAAAGTCAGAAATCCTCAAACTAATACACATAACTAATTGTCAGTTGAGATGTACTTGAAGTATAGTTGCTAGGTTTGAACTGCAGTCCCATACCAGTGGCATCTAGACACTATTTGGATGCAACACAGGTATGAAAAGGTGTGTACTTGTGCAGACTTATGCAAGTATGTGTTTGTTTTCAGTTAATGAGGCACAAGCCTGTTTTTGTATGAGTGTATCTATGCCATTTGACTCTGCTTTTTATGCTGAACTAGGATCCATCCAATGTCAGTTGACTCTGCATATCTCTATCTGCCTATAAGCAAACAACTTTGAACCAATATATAATGGATAGTTGGCCAAAAAGTGAGAAATCAGATGTCTGCTAAAGTAGACATAGATTTACATTTTCATATTTTAGATGATGTTCCAACAGAAAAGTAGAATAATTAGTCTCACTTTGTTTCACAAGATGCTCAAAAAAAAAAAACCAACGCAAAAGATAAGATCACATAAGATAAACTTTGATGATCCCATGTAGGTAAATTGAAGTGTCAAAGCAGCAAAGGAAATGTGTAATAAATATAATATACACCACAGGAAAAGCATAGCAACCACAGAGTGGATTCATAAATCAAAAATCTGTATGGAGAATGGAATCAAACGGTGGGTGTATCAGCCCATGTTATCTTACCACAGATATGTTGTTTTGGCATTTGCACTATTGTATTCTTGGATATTAAGTAACTAGAAAATGCTACGCTGAATTATTTTTCAGCTGTAAAACTCCCTGCTAAGTACATATCTTGGTCACAATGATTAAATACTTTAATAACTAAATTAAATATCAATATCTGTACTGGCCTAAAGTTCAGTACGAGTTGGGCTCTACGGCAGATATTCGTGTTTGCCATGATTCACCTGTGATGAATAATTGATGATAAATATGTCATGAAAAGATTTCTGGTAAGTGAAATCACAGTACATTATGGTCAGTGTTTAAATTCAGTGAATCCTGTTCCAGGTTTGCACTCCAATGCCTTTTTGACAGTGGACGACTGCTACGACATGGGGAAGACGGCTTATAACGACGCAGACTATTATCATGCTGTGCTATGGATGCAGCAGTCTTTGAAGCAGCTGGATGCTGGGGAGGAAGCTGTGGTTTCCAAGGCGGACATTTTGGACTACCTCAGCTACTCTGTTTACCAAATGGGAGACCTGCCTCGAGCCATTGAACTGACACGCCGGCTGGTGGCTATTGGTAAGATGCAGCATAGGCAAGTGTACTGACACAGAAGATGTAAGCTGGAATCAGTGTACACACTAACACACATAATCGCACAATCATTTATCTCAGCATGAGACTCATTACTTGGATCTCTTGGAACCATAAATGATGGATGAATGAGTTCACGGTCTCAACTTTTGAGAAACTTAAAAAAAGCACATTTAACATGTTTTTAAGGAGCACTGTTGAATTTTTCAGTTGCCTCCCTCCCTTGGTTAGCTGACCAGTACAACCACAGTCTTCCACAGTGGGATAACCGATGGGTTGTCTTCCTGCCGTTTCAGTCATCACTACAGTCCACCCTCCTCTCACTGCAGTGGTGCTCTGTGAGCAGCAGGGTGTTGTCCCTCCAGAGTGAGGGCCGGTGGTTTCTAACTGTTATTTTAGTCTCTGCTGTGTTGACAGCTGCAGGCCCTCTTTTTAGAGCTGCGGCATGCTTGATTACTTGTCAAGTGAAATGAATTGAGGTAGAGCAAATGTAGCAGACACAGACTTACTTTGTGGCATCAAGTGCTACTAACATTGAAAATGCACAGATGCAACTCATAGTATTACAGCTCAAAAAAAAAAAGAAAAAGAAAACTGAAACAGTAAAGGATATACAAAAGCAATAGTCCAGATAAAGCAAATAAAATCATACTAGAAATGTAAGAAAAAAAGGAGTGGAGCATAGGAAGGCAAGCAATCAATTTCAATCTGTTGTCAGTGACACATGTTTAAGAAGTAGTTCGACAGTATGGGAGACTGACAGATTATACGACTCTGGGAAGTTACTGCACTCAGCCAAGAAATACTCACTGTTCATCAGTGAGCTTCAGAGTCACTGGTAGGCTGATTCTGTTACCTTCGAACAGAAGGAGTCGGGCTTTTTCCCTCATGTTTCAAGGCTTTATGCTCCTTTTTATTCTAAGCTAACCATCTGCTGGTTCCAGCTTCATATTGAACACACACATATGAGATTTGTATCAATCTTCTCATCTAACCGAGCAAAATAATGATTAGTGCGTTTCCCAAAATGTTGAACTATTCCTTTGAAACAGTACAAATCTAGGATCATGCAAGGAAGACCACATATAAAATGCAAGAAACATTTTTTTTTCTAATTGAAGGTTGAAATTTGTTTGTCTTATGACCTGAATAATACTTGTATAATCTTTCCTGTTGAATATATTGATGGAGGTGCTTGATGGTTTCTTCTATCAGATCCCCATTAGTAGGAAAGTATGGTCGTACTGGGCATCTCTCAGGACTGAATTTGTGTCACTAAATCAGTGTGTATTACAGCCCTGCTGGAAAAGACCACACATACTCACTTGTATCTCACATTTTAGTTACCTCCAGCAGATTGTTGAACTGCACCTCTCCCTCCTACAGTAAGACTAAACTAAATCAAGACTTGGGAAACACATGGTTTACTGCTGTGGTTACTATAATTTTGGTACACAAGGCAGCATCACTCTGAAAGGAGGCTCAGTATGTTGCTGCAAGAAAAGTAGTACTACTGCTCTATGAAATACTCTAGTACAAGTAAAGATCCTACATTAAAATACCACTCAAATAAAAGTACTGAAGTAGTTGCAGTAAAATGTATCAAAAGTAAATGTACTCATTATGCACAATGGCCCCTGTCAGTGGGAAATTATACTGTTGGCTCATTATTATTGCAACATATAAGCAGCACTTTGATGTTGCAGTTGGTCTATGTTGTGATCATTTTCAGCGCTTTATACATAAACTGGCAGGTAGTTTAATATTTATCAATGCATCATATTGGTGATGGTTATATACGCTGTATTAATCTGAAAAGTAACTAGTGACTTTAGTTGTTCAGTATAAAATAGTGTAAAATAAAAGTAATTTAACAAGTACCTCAGAAGTAACTTAATAATAATAATAATAATAATAATAATAATAAACCTAATTACTTTGCACCACTGAGAAGAGAGAGTTCAGTGAAGCTGAGTGGGGAAAAATTAGGTCCACAGTGACTGTTTACTATAAATGATAAGTGATGTTGTAGTGAGTTTGTCTTTGATTAAATCATACAGTACTTGGTTGAAGTGATGAAATAAAGCTTAAACAAGCTAAAGTCTAGAGAGGTAAAAGATATCAATGTTTACAGTGCAATTCTTGTCTTCTTTGTTTTTGTTTTTTTAAATCAATTTCTGTTAACTAGGAGTGATAACTTGTTTGCATTTGTGGTGTCAACGGGCATGAAAGGGACAACGCTGTTTAAAATTAGGATGTTTTAATGCAGTATTTCTTCAGCTCTACATGTTAGCCTGCTGTTCAGATGAGATCTTAGCCACTAAAAACCAAATATTTCTTGTGCTGACAGAACCCGGCCACCAGAGGGCAGGAGGAAACCTCCGTTATTTTGAGCGGTTACTGTTCAAGCAGCTCAATGAGCTGAACCAGGCCTACCAGCCTTCCTCTGAGGAGCCCATCCAGCTGGGAACCTACAGCAGACCTAAGGACCATCTCCCAGAGAGAGAGGCGTACGAGGCCCTCTGCAGAGGAGAGGGGCTTCAAATGGTGAGACATGAAGAGAAAAATAAAGGCATGTTGGAGAATTGGATGTGATGTGAAGACCTGTTACAGAGAGGCAGTCAGAATACTTGTTCTCTTCATACATATCTGAAGTGCTAACATTCAGCTGAATTAAATCCTAAAGCACCAGATACTTTGATCCTCTGCTGTAAGTGGTTTGTTCTCATGAAAATACACTTTTGGTTCAGCAGATAGATTATTTTTATATTAGATTGGTTACATACACACATGTGCTTGTCTTAAAAAGCAGTGCATTAGGCAAGGCCTTTCAATTTCACAATGAATCAAGGAATGTATTTAATATTAGAAGAGCAAGATACCTTCACCATGCCTTGAAATGTTTGATGTAAGTCGAACAACCATGAAAGAAACGGGCTTATAAACACATATTAACAAGTATTTTGTATGTGGTTTATTTGATAAAAATTAAAATCAGTGCACTGGAGTTATTTTGAGCAAAGTATTAGAAATTCATCATGTTATGAAATTACATTTTGCCAGCAGGGAACAGTCAAAATTAATCACCACTCCCAATATGATGGAAATTGATGCATTCTTTGTCATAATTCTTCACCTCTTCATAGATTCAGACGAAAAAAACGAACTCCTAACCAATACAAATATTAAGAAAAAAGCTTTATTATTTTCTGCTTACCTTATGTATTTCACCAGAACGAAAAGAGGCGCAGCCGTTTGTTCTGTCGCTACCAGGATGGTAAGAGGAACCCTCGTCTCCTGCTGAAGCCCATGAAGGAGGAGGATGAGTGGGACAGCCCCCACATCGTTCGCTACCTGGACGTCCTGTCACACGAGGAGATTGAGAAGATTAAGGAGCTGGCCAAACCCAGGGTGAGACAAGAAGCAATGAATAAATAATAATAAATATACACAAGACATAAAACAAAATGAGAGACACACTCTTTGGATTTATCTCATCAACTCGATTTGTCAGTCGCTGTACTTATGCAAAATCATATTTGGTGGTGCATTCCTTTTACAAAGTGCAAGCAAAGGTTTGGGTATCTTCTGTGTTTAACAGTTGTTCACAGCATTGTGCCCAACAATCACGTGAAGCTCTGACAACTATAACATTGTCACATTGTGAATATTTACATAATCGGAGGCTAAATAAGACTAATAATAAGAAGAAAATTTTTGCCCATGAGCTTATGATGTCAGGCACTGGTGCTGTTAAAATGCTGTGTCTATGTAACAAGGACACAGTCAAAATAAATTATACAGGGCAATCATTCTTACATTCTGAATTTATTCTCATAGAGAAAAGAATATAAGGAATCAAGAGTATTAGATATACAATGTATTTATGATATAAGATTAATAAGGGAGAATAAATGTAGATATTTATAAAGATACTTATTTCCTCCAACTGTGTGGGTGTGTTTGTGTTTTATTTTGTCAGCTTGCCAGAGCTACTGTCCGTGATCCCAAAACGGGTGTCCTGACCACAGCCAACTACAGAGTATCAAAAAGGTAACTCTTTCAGGGGAAAGGTTCCTTGGGTACTCTCTTGTGGATATCAGTGATTACATTTAGATTTACATGTACTCATTTGGCAGATGCTTTTATCCAAAGCGACTCCAGGGACATCACTAAAGCTTCAGCTTTATTTTCAACTTGCAGGTCAAGGGGCGCTAAACTTGTTTTTACTGTGTTTAGTGTTTATTGTGAGTGTGTGTGCCTGTGTGCACTCTACTATGTACACATTTTTGGTTTTTCAGTGCATGGTTGGAAGGAGAGGATGACCCCGTCATTGAAAGGGTTAATCAGAGAATAGAAGACATCACAGGCCTCACAGTCAACACTGCAGAGTTACTTCAGGTAATCACATTGCTACATCATCATGTCACATATAACACAGAAATCTGACATCCAGTTTTCTAAATGACAGTTATATTCATAGTAATTCTCATAATGATAGGCAGAATGTATCTAAGAACAGTGTGTGTAAAAGAGAGTGATCTTTCAGCAAATTAAATACAACATGCTACCTTTGAAGGGATTAAACTGATTAAGGTTGACCTAGTATGTCTGAATCCAGGCTCAGTCACACTTCCACTGCAATTACTTTTTATGGATTGAAAAATTAAACTGTGTTTCACCTTTTTGCAAAGAACATGAGAAAAACAAAACAAAACAAAAAGGCATGTTCTAACTCAGGAGCAGGATTTAGTTTGTGGTGTTCAAAGCTTCTGTAGAAAGCTACTTTAAAACCCTAACAGCAGTGTGTCTTCACAGAAACAATGCCACAGTCACTCATGATAATCCACACTCCTCAGTGTCAAAAAATAGTCTCCATTTAAGTTATTACATTAAATAACATAAATCAATATTCACAATGTCAAATCAGTACATGTAGATACACTGTAGTTTGCCAATACATTTTTAACCACATTGGTTTAATATATAATCATCTTTGTCAATGGCTGACCAGGTTGCTAACTACGGAGTTGGAGGACAGTATGAGCCACATTACGACTTCTCAAGGGTGAGTTCACTTGTGTGTCAGAGTGTGTTGTAAAGATGTAATTGACATGCTTCCCACATTTCCTACAGTCCTTTGAAATATCCCTAAATCTAAGCAGTGTTCTCTCTGTGTGTTATTTCTGGCAACCATCTATGATTTTTCACATGATCTGTAGCTATATGCACGCTGTGCAGTGCATCTGTGCAGCTGTTTTGCTATGGAATTATTGATTTTTTTAGTACAAAGGGTCATTGCAAATAAGAACTGTTCTGTTTAGCTATGGCGTCACTCACCTGGGGGTAAGAAAGTAGAAAATGATGAAAATGATTAATGGCCATTGTCTGATATGGATAACCCAGAAAGAAATAACTCTTTAGTAGAAATGACTGTGTGCTCCATGTTATCTTTATATCTTTATGTGCATTATGCGATATTAAGCATATAACATAAAGCTATTATTTTGAGATTAGATGAAAAATGTAATTCATTTGTGGTTTAACAATGTTTCTGACAGATAATAGAGTAAACTTGATTCGTTGTGAGTGTAGTTAGTGCCCTTAGTGGCGGACCCCTGGTGTGAGTCTTTTTGGTGATGGGTTAAACGTATAAACATCTGTTGCAGCGTCCTTTTGACAGCACCCTCAAGGTCGATGGAAATAGACTTGCTACCTTCCTAAACTACGTAAGTACATGTGTGTGCGAGTGTGCAGCGTTTTCATCATGTATTTTTACTCTTGAATTTTATCTTCATAGAAAGATGAGCCTGATGCTTTCAAAAGATTAGGCACTGGAAATCGTGTGGCAACTTTTTTGAACTACGTAAGTACGTGCATCCAGTCGCCGTTGATTGAAGGCTGGGGGTGGCAGTCACCTGAGATCTACGCTCCATCCTTCTTTTGTTGTAGCTTCATAGGCGTAAGCATAAGCTCTGGTTCAATCTTGGACTTGGATTGATTGACTCCCATAGAGATTTACTAATTGGCATTACAGTTCTGTAGTTGGAAACGTAGAATGGCTTGACGTAACGAGACAAGATGCGGAGAGAATACCCTAAAGTGGTGCGAGATAAATATCCCATCATGTAGATGACTGAGACTCTTTGTAGACAAATATTTAAGAATAAACTTTTTCTGTCAATCAGTTCCAGTACATATTGTGGAGAGTTTTGTTGGCTGGTCCCCATTAACACGCTTTAGTTAGAAGCAACTCTTTATTTTACCCTTGTTAACACTGGGTCGTACAAAATAGAATTGCATCCAAAAGTAGGTACAATATTTTGTTCTTAAATGAGGCATGTAGTTGAACTCCCATAACCTTTGACTGCTTGACGTTCAGTGTTCACCATGGTGCATGATGTGGATGTGCTCTAGTAGATTATTGATCTATAGTATACGATAAATGTAAAACATTTATCGTATAAAACAAACAAGTTTTTAAGTCAATGCGAGATACGGACAGGATATAACAGGACAGAATAAAATGAAACCCTTGATTCCTTTCAATAAGCGGCAAAACCTACAGAAATAAGACAAAGCAGTTTTGTTTTGGTTTATTAAAATAGAGCAGAAAGAGTTAAACAAAGTTAAATTGTCATAACTAAAATGGTATAGACACTATTGATTTTTACACTGAAACACGCAATACAACGAAAAAATATCCAAAAGTCATAGCACATTACATATTTTAGATAATTGACCGTAACTTCAGATCAACAAATGCGTTTGACTCGTGGAGACAAGATGTATGGTGGGACACTACTGATCATCTCCGCTAAGTAACATCTTCTTTGTACCTGGAACAACTGATGGGTTAGTTTAAAGAAAGACCATATTCCCTTTTCTTCTTCTCCAGTTTTTCTGGAGTCTTGCTTGATTTCCCTCACTGCACAGTCCAGTAGTGTCTGTAGAAATGTCATTTGTTATTTTGTAACCCTTATTTCTTTGTTGGACCTTGTTTTTTGATAATGTTTTATAATGAAGTGACATAGAAAAACTTTTATAATTTATTACTAAATTTATTATCAGTAGAATTTGTCAGTTAATCGGCATCCATTGGCATTTACATATTCTAAAAAAGGACATTTTCCTTAGCAACAAGTGTTTGGTATGTTGACATGTTATATGTTGCTTTGACAAGTAAAACAAATGTATGTTTTGTTAAGCACAAACACAGATGTGCTCTTGGAGGATTGATGAATACCGCTGTGTATTCTTTGAGAAAAACAGAGAAAGTTTCCAACCTGTTGTTTTTTTCTCAGATGAGTGATGTCGAGGCGGGAGGTGCCACGGTCTTCCCTGACTTTGGAGCAGCAATCTGGCCTAGAAAGGTGATGACAACAGTGTGTGTGTTTCTGTGTGTGCATGGGAGAATTATATTAAATGTCATTTATTGTGTGTTGAGTGTGCTTACATGATGCTGCTCATGTCTCCTGTGGGGAAATAAACAGTGTCGGTGTCAGTTTAAGGGTCAATGTGCCGAGACTTACTTTGGTAATTATTACAGTAAGTCGTGACATAATGACGGAAGATCTCATGTGTGAGGTTCTCTCTACATTATTCTGTAGTGTATGAAAATTTGCCAAAGATGTCATTTGGCAAATTTTGAATGGAAGCTCTTTTTTTTTTTTTTTTCTTGCATGAAAACTGTTTTACTTTTGGACTTTTTGAAGTATTACATTTACATTTACTCATTTGGCAGACGCTTTTATCCAAAGCAGCTTACAAGTGAGGGACAACACTAAAGCTTCAGTGCAGTAGGAGACCTTGAAGTAAGTACTAAATCTGTTCAATAAGGCAAAGTGCAAGGAGAACAGGTAAAGAAGTGCAGAGTAAGTGCTAGTTAGGCATGTCAGGGTTTTTGAGGTGATACGCGAGAAGTGCTCTCAGAAGAGATGAGTCTTCAAGATATTCTTGAAGATAGAGAGGGATGTTCAACCATCGGGGACAAACAAGAACAGTCTGGACTGCGATTTGAAAACAGGCATGGCAGGGCCAGATGACATTCCTTGGAGCAATGCAGTGGCCAAGGAGGAGCATAAGCTTGCATGATGGAGTCCAGGAAGATGAGTGCAGACCCAGAAGTCACTCTACAGGCAAGCAATAGTGATTTAAATTTGATTCAGGCAGCCATGGGTAGCCAGTGGAGGTGTAAGAGCTGTGGAATGACATTTGCCCTTTTAGGCTGATCAAAGAACAGAGACACCGCTGCATTCTGGACCATCTGCAGTATATAAGAACGTTTTGCTTAAGGTATTGCAAGTTTTTTCCAAATTCAATCAAACAGATTGATTTTCACTGGCCAGTCAACATAGCTGTGGTAATATAGGCCCACAGATTGTCCAGTAAAGGCTGCTGCTTATTGTTAACTAACTTGTCTCACATGTCCATGTTTTTTTGGGGTTTTTTTTGTTGCATGTGCTTCAGAAATGTGCTTTTGCCAATGTGGCAAGCAATAACATAGTTGTCAAACAACCAAAAGTCTGCTTGAGGACCACAGGGGTCAGTATCACACTGCAATAAACTGCTCAGCTTGAAGCCGCTTCAGGTCTTCTTCTCATTGCTTGTTGGATCTTCGTGTTCCTTCTCTCTCGTGAACACCAGATGTTCCCATCATTGTTTCGTGTATTTCATCTCTCCACAGGGGACGGCAGTGTTCTGGTATAATCTGTTCAAGAGCGGGGAGGGAGACTATAGGACCAGGCATGCAGCCTGTCCTGTCTTAGTAGGAAGTAAATGGGGTGAGTGAAAATTTCGATTCATCACATTTAACTATTGATACATTGAATTAGATAGGGAAAACAGCTACATTAAGATTGAAATCAAAGCGATAAAGTTAAAATTGCTTGTGACTCCATGTTACTTAACAATTCCAAAATATGCTGTTTAGAACAGGCTCTTTCAAGTTTTGACTGCATCTACTGGCTTGTAACTCCTGAAACCACACCCGGAAAGTTACTGATACATGTCATAACATGACATAAATATTTTTCCAGAAATACAAACACCATTGTACAACAGCCTAGATATTGTGCTACAAATACAAGGTTGATAATTGTAACCGTTTTACAAAATGTCAGCATTAAAACCATGCTCATTTGATATTTAGTCTGTATTCTAGTCTAGATAGAAGAACCTTGTACATTTTTTGTAGATCACAAAAAATAAGGCAGTAAGGGCAATTTTAACCGATTCGCAACATGCCCTTAGTACTGGTATCTGGACACGCAGATGTGTGTAAGTGAATGGATGTTTATATATAGCACATCCCAGTAAATCCCAATTAAGGGATCTCTTGTAAAAACCACATACCTTAATGTGATCAGATTTAGGCGGTGTAAATAAAATTACACATACACAGAAGATATTGCATGATTTAAAAATAGTTTAGTTAATTTAGATATGAGTGAAAGCAGTTTTTAACAAGAATGAGCTCTCATTGGATGAACAGTACAAGGTGAGGCTTGCCTATACGTTTAACCAGTGTTGATGTATTGGGCAGGCTGTGTAACCAGGCTGGGGAGTTTAAACCAAAATACTCACCATATGGTGAGGCTGTCACTTCATCCTGTTCTGAGCTGGTGAAACACACCACTGCGAAGAGATTCAAGATCTTCACATGTCAGCTTCTATTAAAAGCACATTTAAATTCATACAAACACTAAACTGTACTGGGAAAATATCTTTACCACATGCTGACATTTTTTTTCATTTTATTACACAGGCATTATTGAACTGTCTTGGCAATTTTGTGGTCCTCACATGTTTTTTGTTTTTCTGTTTTGTCAGTGTCAAACAAGTGGATTCACGAGCGAGGACAAGAGTTCAGGAGACCCTGTGGCCTGACAGAAGTGGACTGAAGTTTGACCCACATCTAAGGAACATGCAAACAAAACACACTCACACACACACATGTACATTCTCTGTAGTGCCTTATTTCTGGCAATAATGCAACTCTCAGACACTTACAAAAGTGCTGTCCCTCTCAACTTGTCAACATGGTTAACAAATGTTTTCTGAGGAAATTGTGACACAGGTATGCAAAGATAATATATTTCTTTTCACTAGAACATGTAGAGCTCAGTTCTCTGTCAGGCATCCTCACACCACCCCCACCTGATAAAAAAGGAAATTAAGTGAAAACATTTTTTTAAATTTTTAATAACTAATAAACATTAAAAACGATTACTTTATGAGCACGCAAAATTAAATTACTGTTAGATCCAAATGTGTGGGTCTACTGCCAAACCTTCCCATTGATACCAGAACCTAATTCTTGGGGTTTTTTAGCTGTCAGGTGAACAGCTTTTACCTCAGACTGCTCTTACAAGCAACTTTCAATTTTTCATAGTAAAAACATCAGCATTAGTGGTTATACAGAGAAGCTTGTTTAAATTTATATATCTCAGCTGTTCCATACAGGATGGTGTGACGGCTTTTGTAGGATTTATTTCAAATTCACTCATACGTCTTAAAGACAAAGAACGGAAAGATTTACACATATTTAACATATTTCTGAATATGAAGCAGCTTTTGGTAATGAACTTTTTTTAATCCAGCTACAGACTTTGTACTACATTCACTTATTGCAAGTTAACCCAGAGTTAACCATTAACGCTAATTTTACAGTATGAACACATTGTCAAGTTGTTCTGCAAGTTCCTGAGTAGAACTGAAAACCTTTTTCATAAATATTTGGCTGCCAGCCATCAGAATTGTCAGTTTACCAAAAAACCTTATATTAAATCTATAGTCTGGTATTGGTTCATTTTAGAGGTTTATTTGGGAAGCAGTCTCAGAAAAACAACTTTTCTCTGCTGGTTATTTTAAACAAAATTCGAGCAAATATTACGAAATAAACATCCCAAGTTACAATCTTTAGCTTTAGCACTGTCTCGTCTTTACTAATAGCTTCATTTTTTTATTAAACTGACGCTAATATCCTTTATCATTTGCATCCAAAGTGTTTTTCCCAGTCCAGCCTGACAGATAAATACATTTCCTCCAAATCATGCCCAGGACATTTTTATTTATATAGTGTTTAAGTTATTACATTGTTGTTACATTGTGTGCCCTTTCTACAAGATGGCAAATAAATGTCAAAATAAGTCAATAAACAGTGGCTTTTACTAAAATGTTTTGTGCTTTCATTCACAGTTTTCATGATTTCTCACCGTGTCATCAAAATCAGACTGACTCTAAATCTGTTGCCAGCGTTTTCCTATGAATCTGAAGCATGAACTGTTTAGGATCCAGAGGCTTCATTAATACCATATCGAAGTCCTCAAAGTGTAATTTTTATATCCACCAATGTGCCTGTTACACCACCCACATGCAGCAAGTAGCTAAAGATGATGGCATTTTTAACTGAATTGAGGTTTATATTAAACTGGCAGCATTTTGTGATTCACTACAACTTTTATGGTGACAAGCTCAAGGCTCTGATTGGGTTATTTGGTGTCAGTTAATGCTGGTGCCACTGATCAAGGCATATCATTGGACACTGAAAGAATTTTTGAATTTGCTTTACCAATCTTATAAAGACAATGGCTATAAAATGGTCATTGAGAGAATTTTTATGCAGTTATATATGTATCAAGCTCATGTAAAGGTATGCGGTTTAAACAGCACTTTTGTTCAATTTGAAAATATTGCTAATTTCTACACTTTTACATAAACACTTGTAAAAATTGAACATGTTTTGGTTTATTGTACTGGTCATATTTTTGAAGTTTTTCATATAAACTCCACTTTCATAAATCTAATTCACATCTGCTTTGCACCATTGGCTCTGTATCTGAATGTAACGGGAAGAAAATCTTGTAAATCTGGAATGCTGCATCTGAGCCTATGTGGCTGTTCAGCTCAGGCCCTTGGGAAGTGTGGGTTTTGGTAAGCTTATGCTTTGTAGATTTACTGAGGCAAGATTCAGCAACATGAAATGTGGGACATGGAGGAACATTTCTGCCACCTACACAGTGCCATAAACTGACAGGGGTGCCTGTTGTGAGGAAGGAACTAGATGGGTGCTATTAGCTTACTTCTCCATCGAGAAGGACAAAGGGGTGGAGTGGTGATGTTTTTAGTCACAATCATCTAATGCTGACTTTTCACTTTTGTTTCAGACCGTTTGGTTCCTTGCAGCTTATTTACGCCTATTTACTGTTCTGTGACTTCATGAATCTTAGCAAACCAAAAATGATTAGCCATGTCTTCCTGATTTTTGTTGTGGGTGTCACTGATTGTTACCATGGTAACATTGGTCTTAGGCCTCAGTTAGCCTGGGGGTATGGTGTCTTACGTTTTTGGTTTAAAATAAAGTCAGTTAATTTTGTGAAACTTATCCGCATTAGACTTATCTGTGAGCAAAAATAAGAGTGGACCAACATTACAGATCAGTTTAATATCTTTGTCTTCATCCACTCTTCACAAGATCCTTACTTCAGCCAGTTTGGTATCAAGTGCACTCGGCTGCTTCGAATTGTTCCTCTGAGTTTTCCTTGTGTTATCTTCTGAACTAATCTATATCTCCTTGTGCTCCAAGATCACCACATGATGCCTAGCTCGACTGTCAGTCTGCCACGGCTCACAACACAACCTACCATTCAAACCAGCTGGAGTTCTTCAGCTTTGAGCGATGATTTGTTAGGGTTAGGGTTCAAATTATGCCAAATGCGCAGAGGGTGCTTTTCACAGCAGGGATGCCTTCACTTGATCATTTGTACCATGCCATACCGTGTCCTGGATTTAGGTTCACTTGTCAAACATAACAAATCATCCAAATCATAAAAAAAAGGTCATAAAATGTATGCATAATATTCGTCATCTGGAGCTCTACAATCTTATTAAATCAGTGGCTCCCAACTGTTTGTCTGATGTACCGCCAAAGTAGTGCTGGGATTTATATACTTGGTGTGAACTTATAAATGATCTAGTATTCTGATTTTTCCAGGCCACAGCAGGGGTAGGGTGGGTGGGGGCGCACAGAGCAAATGTCCTCTGCAGTTTCTCAGAGAGCAGTATTGAACACACACACACACTTTTTACAGACTGAAATCTAATGTTTTTTTTTTTTAAAAAAAAGAGAGAAACAGCTGCAGGCACTAGGACCACATGGTAACATCGTCTACTCAGCTCTCCAAATCTCCCTCCCGTCTCCTCACTTGTTGTCGTTCAAACTGACAAAAACTGCCAGCAGCTCAGCAGATCGTCCAAACCCAAAAACCCCAGATTTTCACACCACCGAAATTACAGATCACTGAGAACATAACAGTTTTTTGTTGTTGATGATGTTGTTTTCGAAAAAATGTTGGAATATCGACTTTGTAAATGCTGCAGGTTAGCTAACTGTTAGCCACACAAAATGACAAAGTTGAATTGCCCAATTCTGTTAATGTTAATTATGCAGGGTACTAAGACAGACATCTTTAATTTTCTGCTTGTTTTCCTTGTACTTAGCTAGCTATATATAAACAGTATTGGTGATCTTCCTATAAAGGGGGTAGTTCAGTTTTGCGATTAATTGTTGCTTAACAAACTAATGTGAAAGCTGTGCATCGCCCTCCCATGTAGCAAAGTAGTTCTGGTGAATACCACATATTGTGTTCCTACCAGGCACTGGAGGTCAAGGTAACGTCAGAAAGACATTGGACTCTGACGACTCATGTCAGACGGATGTTAAATTCTTGGTTGGAAATGAAAATCGGGTTGATGTCTGTGAAGGAGATTTTTAGCTAGGGTACTCAGGGTCTTATAGATAAGGGGGTACACGGAAAGCATAGTGTTCAAATCTAGTTGTTGTCAAGGATGAGCTAAATAGGGAAAAGGACAAGACACACGTAATATTATTGGGTAAGAACGTGACAATGTGGATTTTGGTGACCAATAGCATCTTCACACATGAATGTTTCGGATAAAGTTTAACCTTATATGGAGTAAGGTATATGGATGTATGGTAAAATGTTGCAACCATGTCATTTTCAGAACTTGGTGTGGCACTACTCTGATTTACAGGTTGACATCATTATCATTATGTCATAATTTTCTCCTTGGTGCCAAGATTACAATAAATACTTCTGCCTGAGACATCTGAATTCCGGGTCATCGTGTTCTCTCGAATTTCAATCCAAATGTCAAAACCCAATGTTGGCTAACTGACATTGTGACATTTAGCAGACTAGGAGTTTTGCTCACAACCAGAACATGTATTTTATGTCAAGATAGCATTGGCATGAAGGTTTTGGTAACTCATCAACACAAAACCAACAAAATATCAACAACTGTTTTCAGCATTCTACGTCAAATTAACATTGGCATCAGAAATTGTCCTGACATTGAATTTTGATCACTCAATTTCCCAACCTACATTCAATTAAACATCAACAAGTAACTATGGTGGCCGGTGAGATGCCACTTCCACATCTGGACCAATTCTAATGCACACACAGATAATTCTTTAACACCGGAGGATAATTTAGTAGTATAATTTCTCAATTTTTTTTCACTTAGTTGAGCTGCTCTTCAATCTTACCCTCTGGTAACTCTTGGACACTTTAGGCCATGTTAGACCGTGTTAATTCATATGTACTGTCAACACGTAGACTTTTCGGATCATCAGTTTGTACTTAAAAATGGATTACCACATAATGATTATGTAAAAATCACAATGACCACTTGTTATCCCAGGCTAGACTCTGAATTAGATGCATATGGTATTCATATTACGTCTACCCAAGTGTTCTTGTCAGGACTGAAGCCAATGAAATAGCAAAGCTTACTGCGCAAACTTGCATATGTCTCAGTATGTGTCAAGTGTTGCAACATGTTTCCCCCAATGGGTCTGTCCACACACGGAAATATTATCCTGAAAAGCCCTTTTTTCCTCTTATCTCTTCCTTTCATTCCTGGAAATAAACCAAAACAATGTAGTGAAATCCCAGGTCCTCTCTGTGTGAAATGATTTATTATGAAGTTAATGTATCACGCCATCTTATGTCTCTTGGGACATGACAGTTTTAAAAAGGAGAGTTGCCTGCCTTGTGTTTAAGGTTAGATATACACAGTTTTTTTTTTGTTTGTTTTATGATTTGTAGATTCTGTCAGGATGAACAACATGAATCCACACTTGGTACTAGTGATGTGTGGTTGTGTAAAAAAGAAAAAAGGACTTACACGCCCATATCTTTATATTATGGTGGGTTATGGTACAATGTATAAAACATACATGTTCTCCACTGCCCCTAGGTGCTGAATCCTCAGCAATGGAGGTGATTGAGGTTGGGAGTTTGGAGTGTTACGTGGGAGACATGAGAGGTTAAATATAAGTGTCAAAGCTGCAGAGGTAAAGATGAGCGCTATGAGGTGAAAGAAATAAATTTGTGCTAAAACTTCATTAGGGAAGATGAATCATATCAGTGATGTTGTCATACAAATGGTCAGTACATTTATGGAAAAGGAAAAATATTTAAAAGGCCAATTCTGGATCAGTTGTATTTAAGATGAGTTGCTATCCTTTACTACATTTAGAGCTTGACTTGTTTTGTTTACCTTTGTTTACCTTCTTCTTCTTCTTCTTCTTTACCTTTATAGTGTAGATTAAAATAATACAGTGTAAGAGTGTGTGATGTGTCCATATCCATATAGGTTTGGTATCCAAATGATTTCATAATTTGAGTCCTGCCAGAATGTTGTGGAGATGATGGTTGGTATTGTCCAAGTTGGCCTCTGTCTTACATTGCATGCATCTCTCCACAATAATCCTGAGTGAGTCCAGAGTCCTGCCAAGCACAGGCTATAGTTGTTTGCTATGTTTGCAAATTCATTTCAAACATCACTCTACCAAGACAAATACTGGGGGAAATACAGATCGCCATTGTACCATTTGTATCTATCACAGCTAAGAGAAAATAAACTGGCACAATTGAAAAATCTTAACCTCCATTTCCAAGCATGTGGGAGAACTTATTGTGGCCTTCAGGTAACGTGGTGCGACATGGCTCCACGGAAGAAGACCCACCCCCTGTTCAGATATGAAGGGCTCATTCTAAGCTAATGAAAAAACAGCGACTCTATAGTTTCAGGTGATTATACACGAATGAAAACATGATTGTGAATATTGTA